GTCATTTAATTTCTCAATTAGCTGTCTGGTTTATAAAATATACACAAATGTCAGCTCATGTTTCCTGAACCCGAAGACGACGTGTTCTGTCCAGTTTACTGTCATGACAAAGGAAAGAAACCAGAAAATATCCACATTTAAGAAACTGTAATTCAGAAGTTTTTTTATCTTTAAAAACACAGAAACTGATTAATCAGTGATCAATGGTTGATTTAATAGTTGACAAGGAACTGAATTATCGATCAGCTGCCTCCGTTTCAGCTCCTTGTTGCACCGTGGGGTCGTTTATTTCAACTCTGAGCTCATAGGAACACGTCCCTTCATGTTGAAGCTATAGTTACAGATAAACTTCTGTCTTGTTATTTATGTTTTATATCTAACAGAGTGTTAATAATCCTGCTGCTGCTGAAACAGGCTGAAGGCTTGTTGTTCAGAAAACTTCTCATCTTTTAATGTTAATCTGGAATCAAACTCTAAAGACACGAGCAGCGACAGAAAACAAACAAAAACAAACTCTTTCCAGAACTTTTATCTGAACCCGTCATTACAACGAGTCTGCTGCGTGTCCGACGTCGTGCTGGAGGCGGCTCAGAGGAGGCAGACGCAGCGTTTTGAGCTTCATCAGGTATTTATGATCTGGCTGATTAACTACGGAGGTCTCCACAGCTGAGAGGCTGAAGGTGCTGCGACGCCGTCATCCGTCTCCTCTGAAGCGTCTCCACCTGCCTGGTCGAAGCCCGGCATGTCTCCACTCGGTTCCGCCTGGATGCACCTCCAGCTTCCCGTCTGATGGATCAGGGTCAGAGATAACATGGCGGGCCGAGTCACGTGTTCACGCCACCGCGGTTCGTTCTACTATTAGACTATAGACCTGAACCGGCCACGGGTCGGACTGAGGTCGGCGCTGGAGGCAGCAGTCCGGCTTCACAGCCTGAATCTGAGTAAACCGGTCCGTTCTAGAGTTGTATCTACAGATGATGATGCTCTGCTTCTCCTGTGCTGGTGTTCCAGATGACGGGAAGGTGGTGAAGACCGTGTCGCTCATCACAGACCACTGGGACTCGGAGGAGATCCTCCTGGAGGAGCTGACCGTCTTCCAGGTGAGCTCAGTGAACAGAACCAGGTCTTCTCCTGTTTCCACCTCCTGTCCAGTGTAAATAAATGCTGTCAGGACTCAGCTCTTCTCCCACAGAACCTCTAAGCCTCCGGTCCCGATCAGAACTCCGTCCAGGACTTTTATGGATAAAGTTTTATTTTGGTGTCCGTGGTGCCCATCTGCCGCATCACAGGACGTTCTGTTTCCAGCGGAACATTTTTTGGCCGCGAGAACTCCGCTGAGCACAAAAACAGATATCAGGGCACATATTTCCCAAGATCCTCGGAGTAAATACGGAGGGAGGAGGGCGGACCGGACCGGACCGGGGAGAGGTCTGCTTCAGATACCAGCGTCTCTGTTCAAGTGCTCGTCAGTCAGATGATGGACAGAGACGCCATCTGATCCACAGGTTGGACAGAACATCAAGCAATGACCCGAAAAAACTAGAATCTGACCTGGCAGCAGCTCATCAGACCATCTCATCTCATCTCATCTCATCTCATCTCATCTCATCTCATCTCATGTCAGACACGCTGCAGCTGCATAAAGGCAAAAAAAGAGATAAAGACATAAAACAAAACAAACCCAAAACCTGAAGTCACTTCACGTCTGTTTCCTGTTTACATACAACCTCAGATTTTTATGTCTCTCTAGAAACTCCAGAACACATTATTATATTTCCAGCTGATCATTTTTTAATATTCTTTTTTTTAGATGGTTTCATATTTTTTAAATCCTCCTTAAATCCAGACGTCTCATCAGTTCACCTCCCATACACGGTGCTGCCAGCAAACGGCTTTTTAAATGTAATTTAAATCATAGTTTGTAATTCTACTAACTGCTGTGTTTGTAATAGGTTTATTGGTATTGGTGTTTCTGGACCGATACCGGTGCTGAAACGTGGTTAACTGTGCCTGTTGTTGCAGTTCAGACTCGTTTTGTGTTTAAAGTGATACAGAAACGTTCAGAACCAGTCAGACTGGGTTCATTCAGACGGGTTCCATCAGGAGAACAGAGAGAAGAAGAATCACAGAAGAACCACGACCCGGATGACTGAGAATCTGCACAGACAGAACAGAGAGAATGTGGCGTGAAGACAGAAATAGAGCCGAGGATGTTTGACACGTGAGAGCCAAAGGAAGCAGCAGATAAAACGAGGAAACTAAACGTTGGCAGCGCCGGAGCCAAACAGGTGAAGCTCCACAAACAAACAGGATGTTCCCGACTCTGAAGCAGGAACAGAGCAGCAGCCGACAGACAGAACACAGAACCGGACCTCCTCGTACCGCCTCTCGGTTCGGTCGGTCAGAGGTCGTCGACTCCCTCCAAGGCGCTGAAACGAGCCAACGAGCTGCAAAGACGGAGCTTATGAGAGTTCTGACGTCAGTCGGAGGAATTCCTCCCCTGACGGATGTTCTCCTCTCAGACGGGTCGACCCACATTCCTGCAGGGAGTCAGAGGTCACTGCTGCTGAAGGATTCACTGGCTTGTGTGTCAGAACTCGACCAGTCGGTCACAGAGCTGCAGACTTACAGTCATTATAATCTGTCATAACAGATACAGGACCAGGTTCACATCCTGTGTTTACAGAACCAGGTCTGAACCGTCGGTTCCTTTAAATCACAGCGTTCTCTTCTTGTTTAGATGCATCAGCTGTAAACATCGTAAACAACAACAAGCTGCAGGTGTTTGATGAACTCCACAAACTAGACTCCATACCTGACATTATATTAATTATCGGTGTGTTGTAATGATTTTAATGCTTCTTATGAGGTCCAAAGAGTCCAAACCACCAGAAAGGAAACCAGACAGAACCTCTGAATAAACCCAGATACATGTGAACTAGTGGCAGAGAGACAAAGACAAAGAGTCTGAACCGACGACAACGAGCAAAACTGGGATGACCTGAAATCCACACTGGACCCTAGGAGATGCTAATTAGCATGTTAAAAGCAGGACTTTTAGTGTTTCTGCAGATTCTCAGATCATAATCGAGTCTGTTTGTTTTCTCAGGAACCCCCTGAACCGATTATTAATTATCTCTGAATCAGTCAAACCGTCCAGATCACTTCAATCTGACCCGACAGAGCTCCTTCTTCTGCACACGAGTCTCTTGTATTTACTCACTAAAGAGCCTTTTTTCTGACTTGTGCAACACCAGACTGGACCTGAACCGGGTGGTTCTGATCATCAATCACATCTTTATCTGCGGTTTTCATGAATGCACCTGATGTATGAACCTCATCATCTGTTTTCTGTTTCTGCTCCACAGAGTCCGACTCCCATCCTGAGCATGAAGCTGTCCACCAAGAGGGTGAGTTCAGCCGCCGGCCCGGTTCTGGTTCTGATTTGTTTGTATCAGAGACGTTTATCAGAAAGCAGCCTTATTGGACGTGTTAACAGCTCCAGTTCAGATGAATGGAGGTTGAATTCTCACAACCCGGTTGTTTTTTCCTCCACAGCAACATCTGTACGTGTCCAGCGAGCTGGGCGTCGTCCAGCTGAGCCTCCAGAGATGCGAGCTGTACGGGTCCGACTGCGCCGAGTGCTGCCTGGCCAGAGACCCGTACTGCTCCTGGGACGGCCAGACCTGCTCCAGGTTCTTCCCCTCCAGCAAGAGGTACTGAGGACCTGGGAGGGCGGGTTCAGCAGAACATCAGGGGGTTATACGTCCAGGTTCTGTCTTCAAACACGTCAACCATCAGAATGAGCAGAACTGCTGCAGCGTCACATCAGGGGTCGAGGGGTGTTGGTCAGGACTGATGTCAGTATTGATTATTGGTGATCGGGAAAGGCTGATACCGAACAGATTAAAAGTTATTTATTAACAGCATGTGATAGCCGGAAGCTAGCATTTATAGCAAGACTTCTTCATGACTGTAACTGAAGTCATGACATTGGAGCATCACAGTGCTTTCCTATTTACTGATCGATCGATCGATTGGGATCAATAACAATTTGTTTCGTTGATCTTTTTATATAAGGCTGATACTTAAAGACATTATTAATGACTGTTTTCCAGACGCTGCTTCAGGTTAATGTGTGGCTACCTCCTAGCTTAGCCGCTAGCCGCTAGCATAGCCATTAGCAGCTAACGGCCTGACGCGTGGACACGTTTGTGCTTCTTGTTCAGTGTCTGCAGAAAGACGAGTCTGTCGGTTAGAACAGAGTTAAAGTTAATCCGACTTCAGAAACATGCTACGGAGCTCCACAGCTAGCTTCTTAGCATGAGCCGTAGCATGAGCCGTAGCATGAGCCGTAGCCTAGCGCTGTCAGCAGAATGAGTTTGAGCCACTTGTTAACAGTTAGAAGTGAACCATTGTGTAACAGACACACTATGAATGTTTGTGTAATGCTGTTGTGTTCAGTACAACGTCTCTTACATCACCTGCTGGAAATGTGCTCCTCTGTCTCTCTGCGTAAACAATGGCTTTCACTGATTGGCTGGTACTCGTGACACGTACCAGCCAATCAGAGGCTGGCATCACTTGAGACGGCAGAGAGAGAGGAGGCTGAATGAGAGACAAAACTGTGCTTTTATTTTGTAGTAATCAGTGTAAATAACGACACCGATGACTGTAAAACTAAACTGATGATCGGTTCATCTCTACATCACACAGAAGGGCGACAGCGTCTGATCCAAGCTGGTTCAGCATCAGATGAAAACACCACAGCAGTCAGAGGTTCAGCTTCTAAATCTAACACTGACCCGAAGCAACGTTTTACCATATGAGATGCAGCAGATTTAATCCGATAACGACCAGAAATGCCTCCAAAAACAAAACGTGACCTCCAGTAGTTTTATTACATTGATGTCAGACAACAGAATATTTAGATCGAGCTGCTGAAGCGAACAAAAACCTCCTGAAGACCAACAAAACGTAAATAAAGTGCAACACGTTGGTCTTAGATTAAAAGTGAAAAACATCGTCTGAATGTTAAACGTTCTGTCTCGGTTCACGTTAAACCTCAGAGGAACGCCTGAAACATTCTCAGAACATTAAATTAAAATGTTTGATTGGAAACGTCATCAGAACCCGTCGGTAACGTTAGCCGGTGTGGGATCGTTCTGGGTCGTCGGTCGAACTGAATGAAACAAAACCAACAAACGTGAACGATAATAATAATTATAAGAGAAATGCGCCGCTGCAGAGGTCCACGTTACCACAAACATCTCAAACATCTACTGCTGTTAAGAACAAGAACAACAGAGCAGGAGGGAAACAGCGGCTCGAATAACCAAAAGGCTGAAGCTTTGGTACAAATGAAAATCTTTAGACGAGCATCCAGGACTCACAGGAACCCAGTGAGCTCTGCTGTAAATCACCTCTCCCCTCAGACACAAACACAACGTCGACTTTTACGACCGGCTCGTCTTTTTAAACGCATTAGGCGAAATAAATGAAGTGAAAAATGGGAGAAATTGAAAACTGCTGCGGCTTCGTCAGCGCCAGGAATCCGTCCGAGCTCCACCGAGCGGAGCTGAGAGCAGGACGTGAGGCCCGCGGCGGATCGAATGCTCCGCGGCAGGTTGCATGAAAGAGGCTGGAAACAGGCGTCGCATTAATATCAGCAAACATCAACATGAGCACAAATAGAAAACAGCTGCAGAGAGAGAAGGAGATGCAAACTGACCAGAAAGGCAGGACGCGATGAAGACGAATGCAAAGTAGAGGCCAGACCACTGCAAAGAGAGAGTAAAGCGCTGCAGAGACGAACACAGGGACCATAAAGAGACTCAGAATGACGTTTAAAACCATGTCAACATGCTCAGAACGACTCCAGAGGAATTAAAACCCACCATGATGACATTCAGAATGACTGAGAGAGACTTAAACAACCACAAAGGAAGAAAAACAACCACAAAAAACTAACAAAAGAAATTGAAATCAACCACAAAGACATCCACGATAACTACAAAGTGACTGAAAATCACCACAGACACCTAAAATGACCAAAATGAGACTCATAATGTCAATAAATGAGCAAAAAACACCACAAAGTGACTCGAAATGACCAAAAAAAGAAGAATCAGATCACAGTGTGACTTAAAACAAGCAGAGACCATCTTGAAATGACAACGAAGAAGCATAAATGATCAGAAAGTGACTCAAAATGACCACAAGGAGACTCAAAATGACCAGAACCAGACTTGAAATGACCAGAAAAGGACCAAGGAGGGATTCAGAATGACCGCTGCGACGGTCAAAACAATCCCACTGTGGGTTAACAGTGATTACAAAGAGATAAAATGACCAAAAGCTGACTTAAAATGACCTCAAGACAACACACAAAGGGACTCGAGATGTCCACAAAAGGACTGATGGAAGGAAACCAGACGGTCTGAAGAAGAAACTAAATGATGTGAAATGACCACTTGTTAAAAAAAAGGCAAAACCCAGACGACGAGGACAGAAGGAGCAGCTTCATGAAACCTCATGAGTGACTGTAGAACATCCAGACAACGTTAAATAAACGTCAGCTGCTCATCGTAGCCGAGACAATAAAACTGAAACAACGTTTTTATAGTTTTTAAGCTGAACTCAGTGGATAACGTGTCGACTCTGTGGTTTCTATGAAGGTCATTAAAACCTGAAGACAAGCTGCGTTCTGATGATCAGATCTGTGGTCAGGGTTCAACCAAACTTTATTTAAACGACGCAGTCAAACTGTTTTAAAGCAGCTGACCAGGATGTAGGAGGTGAACTAGAGACTGACGCCCAGCAGAAAACAGAATAAAAGATGAACCACCAACATGAAGCTGTAAATATGATGTGAGGGAATAAGTGATGACTCCAGTTAATCAGCTGACGGAGGATGAAGGATGACGGACGCCTCGTCTCGTTAGCGAGGCTGAAACAACACAGAGTGTTTTCATGACCTCACGTTTCCTCATTCATAACCTCAGCAGCTCCGTTCCTCCTCCAGCAGCACCACCCAGTGCACTGACACCACTTTATCTGAGGACCGGCTTTAACTGAGGACCAGCTTTATCTGAGGACCGGCTTTATCTGAGGACCGGCTTTATCTGAAGACCGGCTTTATCTGAGGACCGGCTTTATCTGAAGACCGGCTTTATCTGAGGACCGGCTTT